TCTGATCAGGATTTGTTAAATGTTCTTCCGGGGCCAGTTGTGACCATTGCTGGTGCTTCCAGGGCAGGAGGGCCTTGTGGAGGAGCCCTTCTGAGAAGGGCTGCTTCCCCAGTGGCCTGGCTGCCATCCTCTTGGAAGGAGGGTGTTCAGCAGAACCTTAGGGTTTGCTACAAGCGCCCTATGTGCAATGCAAAGCAGAAGCTGACGGGCAATGTCCTGGTCTCCCAGCAGGTCAGGCCTGGCTGCTGTTTGGAGTAGTGGCTGGGCGCAGCCCCCAAAGCCCAGGCGTTCTTTCTAAGCCTTGTCAATGTCCTTGAGAAATCTTGCCTCCTGAAGGTGCCGTCTCCCTGATGGGGAATGGTTCCATCTGACCCAGCTGTCCCGCTTTCTTTCTCAAGAGCCGGACCAAGAGGCTGTGAAAAACGAGGCCTTTCCAGAAAGAAGCAGCAACTCCTTGCCAGTCGGTGCTGCGGAAAGGAGACTGATGCGAGGCACCAGCGTGCTCGGTAATTGCTGTTCGGCGGTCAGCCCCTGTCACCTTTCCCATCAGGACTGGTGTGTGTCAGCAGACTTCCCCGCCAGTACCCGCTCTGTCACGTCCCGTCAGCAAAGGCTGGGAGCGTGCCGCCAGGCACCAGCACTGGGGGGAATGGGAGGACATCCTGGCTGTATGAAATATGCTGCCAGCTCAGCAGTGGAGCACAGGATGGACTAACGTCCCACCTTGCTTCTCCAGATGCAGTCAGTGAGAGAGCCGTGGCTGTGCCTCCCCCGAAGCCTACAGTCGTGTACCTTGTCTGCCCTGAAGACGTGCGCAGGCGCTGTATGATAAGCACGGCAGCAATCCTGGTTTCCCTGCTGTGTGCGGGACTGCTGTGGTGTTGCGGGATGCATTGGTGGAGGAAGAGAAAAGAGTGAGTGGTTGATTTTTCACCCCGCACTGCTTCCTTGGGCGGCTGCTTGCAGCCAGGGAGGGTTTCTAGTCCCCCTGCTGTGGAGTGGCAGCTTAGTGGTTGGCCAAAGAGCTTTGCTGAGCTTTGGGCTGATGGCAGATGCTTTCAATGGCCTCTTAATTGCTGGGCCTTCTTCTCGGGAGCCCACTCGGGCTGGGGTCAGTGTGAGCTCCAAGTGGCCCTGCCTGGGCAAGAGCTGCCTCCCCAGGAGCACCAGGCACATGCCAAAGAAGGTCAGGATGCGAAAGGGGGGGATGAGAGCGCCCTAGAACGTGCCGGCTCCTGATTAGGGAACCTGTCTGGAGGAAAGCCCCTGCTGCGTGGTGCCACGAGGTGCAGGTGTCCACCTCAGGCAAGTTGTGCCAGCAGCTCAGCCCGTGGTGGGGAGCTTTGCCCTCTCTGGACCATGCTGTGGACGACAGTCCCTGTGTGTCCCATTGCTGTGGAGTGGCAGCTTAGTGGTTGGCCAAAAAACTTTGCTTTAAATGGCCTCTTAATTGCTGGGCCTTCTTCTCGGGAGCCCACTCGGGCTGGGGTCAGTGTGAGCTCCAAGTGGCCCTGCCTGGGCAAGAGCTGCCTCCCCAGGAGCACCAGGCACATGCCAAAGAAGGTCAGGATGCGAAAGGGGGGGATGAGAGCGCCCTAGAACGTGCCGGCTCCTGATTAGGGAACCTGTCTGGAGGAAAGCCCCTGCTGCGTGGTGCCACGAGGTGCAGGTGTCCACCTCAGGCAAGTTGTGCCAGCAGCTCAGCCCGTGGTGGGGAGCTTTGCCCTCTCTGGACCATGCTGTGGACGACAGTCCCTGTGTGTCCCATCTGCAGCTGAGGGCCTCAGCACTTTTCTGCTCCACAGGCGCCAGGCTGCAGCTTCCAGCACGGTACAGAGCCGGGACCACCACCAGCAGCCACCGCGCCCACCATCCCGTGGCCCTCCGCGCCCCCCCAGCCCATCCGTGACCAGCCAGCAGCAGGACCAGGACCAGGCCCCCACCCGTCCACCAGCACCAAACCCGCCTCCCCGCCCCACCGGCCTGCGGGTCTTGCCTTAAGACCAGAAATGAAGGCAAGCCCACCAGGGCAGGGCTTGGGGTGTGCTGAGACAACCGACAGCTTGATGGACCTGCCCTTTTACTTCCAAATAAAAAAGCTGTCACACAAGTGTCCAGGTGGTACGAGCAGCAAATCCAGCCAGGCATGGGGCTCCTTCGACCAGCAGTGGGGCTCTGAGGGAGCCCATGGCCATGGCCAGTGACCAACAGTGACACCAACCTGACCAATGCTTGGTGCCGGAGGCTGTGACAGGAGCCCAACCTGGCCGGTCACAGAGACTGGTGTGGGTCCATGGAGTGAGGGACCATTTATTGCAGCAGCAGCAGCGGCAGCATCTGGCCATGGACCACCTCCAGTGGGATACCCAGGACAAGAGGGAAGCCATCAAGAGTATCTTCAAGGACACAAGCCTGACAAGCAAACGTCCAGAAGGCAAAAGAAAGATCCTCACTAATTAAAGGGCCCTTGATGGGTCATCTCCACTTGGGGATGCTGCAAAGTATCTCCACATCTGGGAGCTGAGCCTCCTTTTAAGACAGTCCCTGACTGAAGCTTTTATTGCCTTGGGAGTAGCAGAGCGCTGGCCACCCCACAGCTTGAACAGTGCGCTCGCTGAAAGGCTGGCTGGAGCATCCGTAGGAGTTGAGCTGTGCTGCTGAGGCTGTGGCCACTCTTCACAGGACAGGGAAGCAAAAGGCACATTTATAACCAAAGCTGCTCCTTAGTACAGGGAAGGCAGATTTTGGGGGGCCTACAGGAGTCAGCACGTGGCTTTGGAGACCAAAGGGAGGCTGGGCCTGTTGTTTGTTCTGAGGCCTGTGTCAGCGAAGCCAAGAAGTGTTGAGGGGAAGAGGGTTTTAAAGCTTCTCCCCGGGAAGCGGGCATGGTGGTCTTTCCCTCTGGTGCTTTAGCAAGGGCTTCCCCTGTGTGTGTGAGAACTCTTGAGGGGCTGTATGTAGGTTATGTAGGTCTGTCTGTTCCTCAAGGGGTGTTGCATACGGCCTGGAAAGAGTGGAGAGCAGCAAGGAGCCAGCCAAGAGGTCACTTGACCCCTCCCAACTGCTCACAAGATTGGTGCTGTGTGTCACAGGGGCAGGGGAGAGCCGCAGGGGAATCATCCCATCCTTGCCCCACTGTGGCTCCTTCCCCCCTGTGCCTGTTTTCCTGAGCCTGGAGATGCTCTGGGCAGGAGGACAGCCTGCCTGGGCCTCCCGACCGCCATCATGGCCTCCTGACTGCCATCATGGCCTCCCTGCTCGGCTTTACAGGAGCCCAGGGCTTTTCCCCTCAGAGGGGGATCCCCATGCCCCCGGCCTCTCCCTCATGTCCCGGAGAGTCCAAACAAGCAGGCCTGGGTGTCCAGCCCAAGCAGGGGCTGCCATGGGTAGGGCTGGGGGCTCCTGGCTGGTGGGGGCTGGTTTAGGCCTATTGGTGCCTGAGGCAGGCCATGAGGCTGCCCAGCTCCTCGCCCTCAGACTGGTGGGATCGGCCCTCAGCCACCTTCCCCAGAGCTCGGGGACAAGGAAAACACACACAGCTCCTCCTGCCATGCCTGGAGCAGGACTGATGGTGGCTGGAGGACAACACAGAGACACTGCTGCTCTTGCTATGAGTCAGGGGAGGCCACGTGAGGCCCCAGCGCCAGCCCTGATGCCTGCCCACCCGCCATCGCATGCTGAGGCCGGTGCTGTGCACACCCTGCCCCGGCATCACAACCCGCCACACAGCCCTCAGGTAAGCACCGGGGAGGGGTTCAGGCACTTCTTGTGACCGAGATCAAGGGCGTTTCAGGGTTGTGTCCTGGCTCTTGGTACACAGCTGGGTTGTTGTTTGCTCCTGGAGGCATCAAGATGCTGACAAGGGGTTGTGGTGCTGTGGGGGCGAGGCACAGGACTTCTCTGTAACCTCTGTCTTCCTGACTGTACTTCCACGTCTTTTATTTATTTTTTTTCCTATTAAATCCTTGTGGCATTCCCCCTATTTTATGCACAGAGGAAGATTTGTTTGCTTTAACTACTCAGACTGCAAACATGAGCTCTTCTGGCTTCTGATGAGCTCCTTTTCTTCCCTTCAGATCTTTCAGACAACCGCACGGAGGAGCAGACGGCACGTAAGGAGAAATACAAACCAGGTAATTTAAAATGTTGCGTGTCAATGCACACAGGAGTGCTGCCATTATGTTACCAGTGCAACTGAAAAACAGGCAGCAAACCGCCCCGGGTTCACGGGTGTGGGGCTGGCAGCAGCGTGGCCACCATGTCTGGGCTTGTGAGAACCGGGAGAGGAAGGAAGCACTGGTGCTGTGGCAAGGGCAGACAGGCTGCACTCACTCCCTGCTCACACCCGTGGGGACAGTCACACCGAGCTTGGTGAGCTACCCTCCCCACGGTGACATGCATTCTCTGGGTCTCTCCACCTGCCTGTGTTCAAGGATGCTATAAAGAGTGAAAAGTCTTTCAGTTTTGCTACTTCTCTGTCATGTTCCATCCTTATTTGATGGCAGGAAGGCAAGCAGACAATAGCAGAATTATCTCATTGGTGGCATTGCTGGAATAGACTAGTCAGTCTAGGAACAGTTTCAAACTAAGCCAGTGTGGATCAGTTTTTGTTGTCTTGCTGGAAGAAACTACCAGCGTTCACCACAGCCACAGCCCTCCAGGACATCTTCCTGTGGAACCAAGCACTAGGACCAACCTAGATTTGCAGGTGTGCTTTATGAAATTTATTTGGTTTGGTTTGAGAAAAGGGCAGGGAGGGACTTTATGTTTAAAATAAAATTTAGCAAGATTTGGTGTCAGCATATAACTTAAAAGGAAAGCTAAAACTAGTTTCAAAGGAAAAAGGTTTAGGATTGTTTGGTTTTTGTCTCAAAGTCAAAACAATGTTATTTTACTTCATTTACATTTTTTGCCATCCCTTTGAACAATTGAAATATTTCAACGGCTAAGCAAAAAGTTGTTGTACATGGCAGTTATTAGCCTCAATTTCTAAACAACTAGGAGAAGTCTGGGTCTGCACACAGATTTTATTCTAAGATGTTAAAAAGACCTCACTGCAATTAAGTTCTGATTTACTGTGGGGAAAGCAAGATGAGGTCTGCTGTTCATGCCATTCCCCAGTGAGCTCATGGCCAGGGTAAAATGCCGGTATATCATCATCCTTGTGAGGTATAATCAACTAAACCACTTTTAAAACATACAATAATTAAATGCCTATGCTTATTCTTTGTTTAGAGCTGATTTTCTTTCCAGGAGAGCTACAGGGGAATTAATTGTCCATAGCCTAAGAGAAATTAGGTACCCAACTTCCTTAGCTGTGTAAAGCTTGGTGACTGGCTGGGCTTACCTGTGCTGGAGGCACAGAAAGGGAGATGGGAGCAGACACTGGCTGCTGCTCCTGGATCCTTTCATGGCATCCAAGTTTTATCAGAGCGGGATGCATAAATGCGTTAGGCAAATGTGTCTCTCTTGCCGGTACAGCTGAGCTGTCTGGTCATTTGGGCCAGCAAAAGAACAGTTTTAAGGTAAATCAGTCAGATAGCAAATGAGGTGGATGGCATCTCCTCTGCCTTCCATGTTGTATCTGCTCTTGCTTTGTTCATGGTGGGACATTTCTGGTGGTGCCTACTTACTTGCTTTGTCTCTGGGATGATGTGAAGACAGCATAAGGCAGCTGCTGTGATAGGTTTGTGTCACTGGAAAAGCAACGTGCCTCGAATGTGCCAATGAAAGTGGCCTTCACTAGGTATTAGGAGCCTCAAGGACAAGCCTCCTGAATCTCAATCAACAGCCAAACCTGTGGATATTTTTATAAATATTTTTATGAAACGGAATTTGTCAATCGGAAAAGAATTTTTTCTATTTAAAGTAATTTTGTTCCTTCAGGCCTGGTATTTCACCTGTGCCATCCACAAAGAGGTCTAAAGGATTTAACTTACGAAAGCAAACACTGTTGCAAGGTTTGAGCTAAGTAAACAGGAAGGCAAGAAAGATGCTGAAAAAGGCTGAAAACCACAGCTGGAGATATGTAACTGCACACAAATTGCGCTTATTATTGTGTGGCCCAGAATGAGTTTATGTGGGGTGTGGTGTGCTGGGTTCCTGTATTTCCACATCAGCTGTTGCTTCCCCGGGCAGAGAGGACAGATGCGTTTCCTGCATTCCCTGTCGGGTGCTCACAGTCTCACATTGCCGGCGACCGTCACGCTGCACTGCTGCCACAGCATCAAACGCTCTAAGTCAGGCAAGCTTTGTGGGAGAGGTAAAAACTTTTATTAGACTAATTAATAGAGTTCAAAACTTGTTTGTTCAAAATCTTGCCAGTTTTTCCAGGTTCCCGGGTGTAAAAGGTACTATCTGCTATTGTAGATGTTTTGCATAGAGTCATTATCAGGAATAATCTCAAAGTATTCTTAAAATGCTGAATTATTTTGTTGTCGTAATACACCTAGGAGGTAGGTAAGCAGTTTTCTGGGTTTTGCCTTTAAAAGTGCTTAAAGACGTTAGGTAATTTTCCCAGAGCCAAACAGTAAACCAGTGGCTAAAAAGAATTTCAGACTAAGGACCTCAGCGCTTGAACACTTGCGGACTGGGAAAGGAGAAAGCCCCCAGAATCACCAAGATACCAAAAATGTGGGACCTTGACCCTGGCTCCAAAGGAGAGATGGATTTTGCAGCTACTTTGGGGTCTGTTTGTGTCTAATTTCCTCTGTCTGAGAACTGACACACTAAAAAGTTGTGTTTCCAGAATGAGGATGGTTTTGCTTATGTGTTGTACTATCCTTCTGAAGATATTGACTAGACCTGTTTCAGATTTTGTATTAGACTATTTTTCTGGTTGATATGATGCTCTCTAGAGAACTGAAGCTGCCTGAAGGAAAAGAAACAGTTTTCCTTCTGGAAAATGTAAAGGAAATACTTAGTTTTCAAACTGCTCAATTGAAAGTGTTTTGTCAAATGGGCCCAAAAGTTGTATTTTAAGAAGAAGTGTGGGTGTGTAAACTGTTTTCCTGTTGCGTCCTCCATAGTGGGAACTGTACCTCAGGCTCCCCCAAAATCTTCTCAATACAACAGAGCTTTAGCTGAAATGCTGCATAAGGGGAGATGTAGTCAGTGCAGGATGCCTGGACCATAGTAGGTGGAGGCAGCTGTTCAGAACCACAAGCACCACAAAAAAATGCATCATCAGAATTAAACAGCCTCATAAGAGAATTTCTGGGGAGACTTTAGCAAAGCCAAAGGAAACATTGGATTTTGAGGATGTCAGAATGTTTGTTTTTTGTGGTAAATACCAGTAAGAAATATGGAATCGATACCTAAAGATTTCTCATTCATAAACCCTAAGTTAGTAGAAGTTTCCTTTTCATGACAGCTTGGAAAGAACAGACATTGAAGTGTCAAAGTCTTTCATGAGACAAGATTTCCAGATCTTGTGGGGTTCTCCTATGAACTATTTCTACTGTTCTCCCCCCAAAATAGTACATTTTAAGTATAAGGATGTCAAAGGTACAGAATAATCATTCTGTTTTGTGAATGGAACAGGGCCTATTAAGTTACTCACATCTGTGGTAAATAGTTAATTAGACACCTTAGTAGTTGTAAAAAAAAACAACAATGTGAATGATCAAGTCGGACTACTTTTCGTTTTACTCACGATGATGAGACTTTTGTTCTTTCTTAATAACCAAAGGCCAGCCCAGCAAGACTCACACAGAGTCATCGAGAATGGGTCCCAGGAGGGTAAATGAATCATGATGTGAAACTCCCATTGCAACAGAGAAGTGATTTCAAAACTAAAGTGCCTGGAGATAGACGCCATGTTTACAGAAAATCGAGTGTAGGACAGAAAGATAGAGACGGTCTGACTGAACTGTTTCAAGATATGCTTTTTGTCCCCTTTCGAACAGGCACAGCGATGGAAAACTTGAATGTCCCATTCCCAGATCTTACTGAAGAACAGCAAGGTAAGGATAGCACACAAAGATCAGAGCTTCAGCTCATTCACACTTCACACCAGTGTTTGCTAGAGTGGTCATGAGTCAATGAAACTTGTTTCCTCTGAAAACACACTCCATTTATCTCCCTGCTTGTAAAAGAGAGATTAGCAGTCAGTTCCTAGGCAGATCTTCCACAGGCTTCTCATCAGGCCTTGGGCATGCACTTGTGGGAATTTAGAGCATGAAGGAGATTTTGCTCTGCATTAAATGCCTGATGAGCTATCTCAGTACCTAGTATCCAGCCCTTTGTGCCTTTGTGTCTGTCTGTAAAACAGCACGGTCAGAATAAGGACCAGTTAAATAGCTAGGAATACTTCCCTGGCTTCTCTAACCGAGACAGTAGTGTCACAAAGATATCAGTAATTTGTATTGACAGTTTTCTACTGATTTCTGGCAGACTGAGTTGCTCTATACAATACAGCACTGCTCTCTTTCCTATATGCTGCTGTGCTGATGTTGGGCAGCATGTTGGAGTCTGATGTCTGTCTCCACACCTACACCGAGCACCACAGGAACACTACTGTGCAACCCACCTCTCCTGCTGCACAGGGATTTGCTTGTTTTCCCTCCCAGACATTTTCCAGAGGGTTTTCCCTGCTGATGCCGATTACTTGGAGAATCATGAGAAAACGAACCGGTCCTTCTGGGAATCACTTATAAAATGTTTAGCCACCACTGACCCACCTATCCTGAAGACTGAAGAAAAGAACAATGTAAGTTACTAAAGAAACATGCAGCCTTTGTAAGACATCGTTATACATATGTTTTTATACTTCTCTGATATACTTTGGGAAGAGAAAATGTACAGTCCAATTATCCGATATGCTAAAACATACTAAAAGCTGTAAAAGGGCACTTCAGTAAATGAGACTCAGGCCCCTGCTTTTTACTTCATTGTCCTCCATGTATAAAAATAACTGGCTTTGTATAAATGCCTCCGGATCAGTTCAGCTCCCTATTTTCTAGGCAGGACCATTGTTAGTGATGTTTTGCTGTAAGACACTGCAGAGATTGCATGTCCATTTTCAGACCCTGTAACTACATTTCTCCAGCTCTTTAAATAGATAACTGTTACACACCACGTTTTATTCCCAGTTGATGCCTCTTCTCTGAGTTACTGAATGGAGTTTACGTTCTATTTCCATCGTTAGCTTTACTCTTTGCCCCTCATTTCCCCCTTGTACAGTAGGGGTAGGGGATGGGGTGAGATGTGAGCAGGGTATGTTTTAACAGGCTACATTTTATTGGAAGGACTATTTGCTATTTACTTTTATTTCAGCTCCTCAACAGCTGCAGTGTCCTGCCTGGAGGCTGCGCAGCCTGCCTGAAAGCCATAGAGAAGAAAGGAGTCATGGCAATGGCTGTGCTTTACCTCTTGCTGAAGACAACCAACCCAGCTGGATACAGGCAGCTGCCCAGCTCCAAGGGAAAGGGTCAGTCTTATCTGGCAGCTCTTCAGCTATTTTGTTAAAACTTACTGCAGGGACAGTGGGACTTGACACCAGTTTGAAAACCGATATGTACGTGGAAGTAATCATTAGTGAACAACTTAAATGTCTTGAAATACTGCTTAGAAAAGTCAGGTGTAGTGATAATGGAAGCCAAAGATGGTATTTTACTTTAGTTTGACTTGGCTTCTTCTGGGGAAAAAACCTTGTTTGTCTGGGGAGAGAGGATGTCCTGGGATGATGGTGCCAGAGAAATTTCTCTGGCTTAATGTGGTACCCCAATTTTTCCTGTCTTGCTGGATTTGTGACAGCCAGGACACTTTTTTTTTGCATGGACTGTTATCCAGCCAGCCTGAGGCTCTCAGAGTGGTAAGAATTCTGAGCTGAGCTGCTGAAAATGTTTTTACAAATGACCCTGGCAGCACGTGAACCAAACAAAGTGAATAGAGGATGCCACTCAGGGTGCTGAACCTGGCAGCAAGATACAAATAGCCTCCACTGCACTTCTCATATGCCCGGTTGTGTAATAAGAAACTCAATTTGAAGCGGTTAAGAGTCATCTGCAAGCCAGGAGCGCTAACTGCCTGGCCCAGGGGTCCACTTTCTGCAGGTTTCTCCTCCCGGGTGGTTTGGCCTGGCTGGCTTTGAGGGCTCTGCTTTTGTGCCACAAGAGGGCGCTGGCGCTGCGGCAGGAGCACAGGGAACCCAGCAGAAATCACAGGGGTGAAGGGAGAAGTGGCCCAGGGAAGGGTGAGCAACCATTCTCCACCTAAAGCATCTTTCAGCTGCAGCTGCTATTGCTTTAGGGAGTGGGAATTTTCGCAGGGGTAGCATTATGTGTAAATTAAAGGCCAGGATACGAAACTTTACTGTTTTGGCTTTCTTAAGATGCCTAGAGTATATGATGCTTTGCTTTGTACTACTCCTTGTGTTGAAACTTTATAGGCATCTTAAGATTGTCTAAACAGTAGAGTAGATGATGCTTTGCTTTGTACTACTCCTTGTGTGCCAAAAAAGCTGAAATAAGACTAAGGGTCTGATTTCCTCAGACAACCTTTAGTAAAGCATTGTGAAATCTGTCCTTGTAAAAGAGAGAAAATGTGAATCATTGTTTCTAATATTTTTTTTTTCTATATATATAAACCAGATGAAAAATTGAAACACCTGAAGAGATTGGAAAGGAATCTTATGCTTTCCCAAGGGGAAGAAGAGGATGAAAATTCATCCCATGAGTCCATGGATGAAGATACACAAGGTAAAGAGGATTTATTTTATTTTTCCCTGACACATAACTTAGTGTGATTGCATGTTCTTAAGAGATTCACATAGGAGTCTTGCAGCAATTTAGTAGCAATTCAGCAGAACTCTGAAAAAAGTAAGAAATTATGCAAAAGAGAGAACATAGAAAATAATCAGTACCTCTAGATTCATTATCAGCAAAATAGCAGCTGCCTCCTGGTCTTGTGGAACTTGGAGGTCTCGGAAATATAGAAACCTGCTGCAAGACTCCTTCCCAAATACAGATAGTAACTTCTATGATCTTCAGTGCATTTATGGTCTAGCTGAAGCCTGTGCTATGGCAGGAGGCAAAGAGCAGTCACCGTACAGTAGTAGCTGGCGATGCTATAGTACTTCTCTAGCATTTCTTTTCTTATTAGCAAACATCAACAGTGTATCAAAAGTCACTTTGACTGTCATTGGACCATTTCGTTCATGGAAAATGAGAGAGACTGAGAAATGAGAGGCAACATGCAAGTGATAATGCTGATATTGATTTATTTTGCTACAGAAAGCCACTGATTAAGTTAAATGAGTTGCATTTAGAAATAAAATTTTCAAAATAATTAGCAGTGCTGCTGATGTATGTGTTTAAAATAAGATCTATCTCACTGCACCTCTTTATACAAATTATTCCATCTTCAGATTTTGCTGGCTTTCTCCTATTCAGCCAGCTTTGAAGAGAGCTGTGAGGCAAAAGCAGCTAATAATGATCCTTGCATTTCAAAGCCTTGATTTTTACCTACATATCCCATAGCCATTATTATATTATGAGCAAGCAACTAGAGTGCTGTTGTTTCTGATACCGCTGCACATTTTTCTTTACTCTGATCAAGAAACACTTTCTCTATCCAGGCAGCGATGAGGAAGATTTAGGAAGACAGAAGACCAAGGGGCGATTACTTGGAGGTAGGACAAAGTGACAACAGTATTGTTTTTCACTAGAGACAACCAATATAAACCAAGAAAAAAAAGGATAATTTCTGGCATTCTTTGGTTTAACTTCTGAACAAAGGTATATTAACATGTGTAGATGTATGAAAAGGACCAGTCAGAATTTGGCTGTAGGAAAGGCATTTCCTACAAGATGAGGCTCAAGTAATACTAATGCTCAGCCGTGCCCTGGGGTCAGAGTTGAACCAGGAGAAAAGCAAAATCTGCTGTTGTGGGAGAGGTCCTGCTGCCTGGGTCTGCACAGCTGCCGTTGAGATGGAACCAAAGTGTTTGGAAAATGTCTGTCAATCACAGCCACTACTTACAGGGTCTGCAGACAGCCCCCGGTGCTGCCCGACCATCATTGGCAAGGGCCACACCTTGGATATTGTTCCCGAGGCTTTTCCTTTCCTTCCAAAGGAAAAATGGGAAATAAGTACGATGCAGATGAAGAAAATGTGCTGTGTCAACACACAACGATAGCTGTCAGCTAATGGTATAGAACCAGGGATGTAAACATGTTACGGCTATAATCATTTAATTAATGTCTGAAATTGATCTTGTCCCAGATATAAGAGCAGCTCATTTAAATTTACATTAGGAGATCTAATTTGCCTCACAGCAACCTGATCCTACCTGACTCCAGCTATTGTGAGGGATGGAATATGGGGGTTTAATGATCCATTCACGTTTCCCACTTTCAGACTGCATAATCCACGGCAGAGCTGCCCTCTCTAACGAGTTAAAGTCGGTGTCTACCTTGTCACTTTTACACAACCACACTCGTTTCAATGGGGTTGTGTGGGCTAGAGCTGGCAGCAAGATAGACATGCTCATTAAGGGTATTAATCTATATCATCTTTGCATAATATCTTAGGTGTACCAGCAGAGGTTGTTCCCTACAGAGATTCAGGTAAGTGCTCCCAGATAACCTCATCCCGCTGGAAGGAAAACTGTAACTGCAGTTTCTTCTTTCTGACATGTTTATATATTTAAAAGTACCCACCCCTGGCTGTACATCCACTGGTTTCCAGTTAGCCTGGTGGTGGACCTGGGCACGGTGCAGACAGTCTGTTGCAAGCTTGTCATGGTGGCTGACTGACAGCACCTGTACAAGGTGTTCCAGCGGATTAGCCCATTTTTTGTAGGCCTGCCAGGTTCTCACAAGATCAGCTCAGAGCAGCTGTCGTCCTTTTTCTGGGGGAAAACCCAGCAATTCTATTAGGGACTTGGACTGTTTCAGCTGAAGACAGAGTTGGGAAAAAGACAGAAGTTGCAGCATAATCCCTAGGGGAGGTTTTTGAGTTACCTGTCCCCAAGGAGTTACATAAAATACCAGGATAGAGGAATATATTGTAATACAGTATTCTCCCCACACTGCCAGGTGCAGAAAGAGGATTTACAGGACTTTTCCTATTGGCATTTGGCCCTCTCCACCTCTCACCATGGCCTTTGCTGCTTTGGTTCTAGATGACTTCAGTACACCAGACTGAGACAATGAAAATATGTAGCTAGTGCGGGACACCACGGTACTGCGTTGGGCAGGTTCAGGTGACACACACGTGCAGCACTTGTGCTCTGCTTGGTTCCAGTGTCAGTTTGAGCAACTGAATAATAATGTAGAGGCTGATCTCCTACTGCTCAGCCGTGCCAAAGAACCTGGGAGCTCTGTGAATAGTCAGTTTTACTATTTCCCTGTTCTTGGGCCCTTCTAACTTCCTTCCTTTCCTGGAAGTTTGCAAGTACTGTTTTGTCTGTACCAAGTCACCAAATAAGTGAATACTCACTGTGCTTGCTAGTGTTGATAATGGTGGGAAGTAAGATATTTGTATTTTTACCATCAGAAATAATAAAACTGTGTTGCTTTTCAGAGATTACCAGAAGAGAAGACTCAATGGAGAATGGTAAATCCAAATAAGTGAACAAAAGTTTTTCTTATGGATGCTGTCCCAGCTCTTGGAGATCTAAATATTTCCTAATCAAATAGTAGAAGTTTGAGAACAGTCATTAAAATGCACCATAATGCTTTGATGGAAGAATGACTGTGCAAGTCATTCCACGGTACAGAGTTACAGTGGGGCTGCTGCATTTAGGAGGCAGAGTAATACAGAACAGGCACTTGTCAAGTATGGATTGATGTTCTGTTAAATTCTGCATCTATAGATCATTCGTGGCACTGCACAGAGGAGCAGTTGTGAGTCAGAATAGTGCAATGCTACGTTAACATTAATAATCAAATAACTGAGTTTGTCCCCAAACCAGACCTCAATCAATCCAGAATTCAAAGTCAAAAATGGGACTCCAGTATCAGGTGACCCAGAAGAGAATTTCTTGGCAAATTTTAGTTGCATCATGGTTCAAAAGCACAATAGCAAAAATCTGTAGCTCGTTTGGAGCACGTTTCCAGTGCTCCCCTGTTACATCTTTAGAGAAAATGAAATTCACTGCCAGGCAGCAGTTGCCTGGATGCACAGCCCAATGTAAGTGAAAGTGGCATCTCAAACTTGGGATGAATCAACTCCCAAAGCTGACGTGCAGCAGACTGCCTAGGGGTCTTAAGCCATCAACAAACAAAACAGGAAAAAACCTTCTGCCTTCAACACGCCATTGGAAATCTGGTAAGATATTCAGCTCTTTCTGATTTTTGTCAATACAGTTGGAGAAAGAACAGAATTTGGCAACTCTGCTCACGACTCGAGCAAAGCAAAATGCTCCCTATTTAAATCTCTAAAAATATCTAGCTTGTTCTTGTGCTGTTCTTTCTATGTATCAGTATAGCTATCTATAGCAGTCTAATTGTCAGCTACACTTCTTAATTTGGGGGGTGCAGATATACTTGAACATTAGGCTTAAGTAGTTTGATGGTACTCGCACACTTAGTAATGAAGATGGTTTTATTATTGTAGCTGTGGTTGTGCAAAGCACCCAAAAATCAAACTGCAACTCCCTTGTCCTACTGCTTTACTCCCCCCACTGTAATTCTGAGACTATTGCATATCCCAGTCTAGTTAGAAAAGAGCCAGACTGCTGTAAAACAGTTGTTAATGCAACCATTTGATTATTCTGTTTTTTTAAAAAAAACCAAAACACCCTGCTCTTTTTGAGGTGATTTGAAAATTGCTAATTTGATCTTTCTGAAAGGCTTGCAAATCTTCCCTTTGAACAAACAGTTTTACATATATTCTGGTCTGAGGATTATTTTCAGACACAAAAGGGAAATCAGCTTTAAACTCCTTAATTTCAGAGTTCTATGGCAAACAAAAACATTTCTTTTTTTGTAGCATACGAGAACGAAAACACTCGCCTCCCTCAGTGGACAGTACGGTGGATGGGCATACGGAAGGATGGTAATTTTCAAAATTTTTTTTAATTCAACTGATGTCAACCCTGTTGAATCTTAGTCCAAGAATAAGATCTCTGGCTCAAAAAAAATTTATTTATGTATTTATTTTTTAACATGAGCACTTTGTTGAAGTGCATCAAAGCTTCTTGATGGAACTCATCAAAGCTTCTCATAACAACTTGTGAGCCTGTGTGTTTTGTGGTTGAGTGTAATGTATGAGACAGGCCGTGGAAATAGACTTTATTCGCTGCACGACGCACTGTGCCTTCAGGCAGATTCATAAGGGCCGTGCCTGCAGTTGTGACCTAATTTTCCCTCTCTGTTTCAGATGAATTCTTTCATTTTGTCATTCTTTGCTTTGCGATTGGAGCTTTACTGATTTGCTACTACTACTACAAAGGTAAGGCAAGACTTGAATAGCGAGATAAATTGTTGCACACTAGAAAAATGAGCGAAGCCAAACATTTCTTTTGTTGCCTTAGATTGGACTATTTCTCTTGGAATTGGTTTGATCACCTTTGCTTCCCTGGAAACCACTGGAATATACTTCGGTCTGGGTAAGTGTAGCTACAGCAGCTGCCTCAGTATCAATGGGAAGGGCATGAGGTCAGACTGTCATTACACCACGCCAGCCCACCCCGTAAGTCACCGCGTCACTGCCCCGTGACGTAGACAGTGGCGGGAGACAAACGTGCCTCAGTGACACCGAAGGGAGAGGGTTGACTCATTTTTCCTTCTCTGTGATCACAAGACCCTGAGTCACCTCTCTCTGCAGCAATGGCTGAATGCTAAGTTGCCATGACAACGTACAATTTTAGCAGCAAGGCCGGCTTCCCAGAGACACGCTCTAAGGTGCTGTGAGCTCAGGCTGCTGTTCTCTCCCCTGGGACCCAGGTGGCTGAACGCCCCGAGGAAGAGCTCTCAGCAGAACCTGGATCGTGGCACCAACTGAAAATAATATGTAAAAAATGGAGCTTCTTGACCATCCCTAGGGATGTTGTAAGAAAGGTGCAAGTTATGGCTTCCCAGCTGAGAACAGAAGTCTCCTTGGTGATCTTGTGCTAAGGTTTTTGGTAGGTTGTGGATGGTTCTCTCAGGAATCAGTCTTGTCAGTACTTTGTTATTAATGATATTGCAAAAGTGCTTGTTTAAACAGTTTGGGTTTTGCCATTTTTCTAGGTTTTTTTTTAATGTTTATGTTGCTATCTGGCTCATCTTGAAAAATAAGTGCTTGTTTAAACAGTAATCTGGGGTTTGGGTTTTGCCATTTTTCTAGACTTTTTTTTGTTTTATGTTGCTATCTGGCTCATCTTGAAAAAAAATGTTTGTTTTCACAATTAGTGTATCGAATTCGGAGCGTGCTTGACAGCTTTGTTCCTCTGATTGACAAACTCAGGCCAACAGGTAACAGTGATCTTCTTACTGCCTGCATGCTTACTGCCTGCACCTTACTTCGGTCAAGTCTTAACACTGACTTCTCTAAATTACAATTTCTGATCTTCTTTTCTTAATTAAAAAAAAAAAAAAAATTACAGTTCATTACAGCTGCTTGGGTTTGAAAATGAATTGTTCTATTCTTGCCACTTTCCATGTGGCAGAGCACTTTCCCATTTTTAACACTTTACCCTGTATGTGGCATTAACTATTTCCTGACAATGCCCGAATAAGAATTCTATAGCTCAATTAAAAATTGAGGGAACGGAGTAGGTTTCTGTTGTTGGGTGTTCAAACCCAGGCTCCAGGCTCACCTTTATCTGTGTTTGTGAACACAAGATATGAAGAATGTTGAAAAGCTACACAACAATTTGAAGGTAAGAGTCCTGACAGTCGTCTTTCTCTCCATCACGCAGGTATGAGGAAAGCCGTCTGGAAGGAGTAATTCAGGGGATTTCCACAAAACCCCACTCTCTGAATGGCTAGTGTTAAAAGAACTGCTTTATGAAGCAAACATAAAATCCTAATGGCTAATGTGCAATATTGAGATGGTAAACCCAGAAAGAGATCATTCCCTCAAAAATAAATCTGAGACTGTGGTACAGGATCCCATTCTTTCTTCTGGAGTGATTCGTGGCTCAGCAGAGCTCTAGCTGAAGGTTTATATTTAATTCCATTAAATATAAACACATTCTCTTTCCCTCTCCCGTGCAACCGTGTCAGCCTGCCCATGCTGTATCAAAATCAACAAAATGACCAATGTTACCCTCAGCTTGTTCTGGATTAGGCTCTGGATGTTTCAGTAGGAATCTTGGCAGCCACCGAGCCGCCTCCTCTTCGCCCCTTGTGATGCTGGGAGCCAGGCAAACACCAGCTGGCTGCTTACACAGCTGAGCCCCAACAGTGCAATAGCACTGAAGCAGATTAATTTATTGTGGCAGAACTCAATATAGTGGGTGTAGAACGATTTCACCCAGTGAAAGCTGGGTGAGATTTTACATGCAGTGACATAATGGTGCAGTAATGAGATTATTAACAGCAGCAAATTTCATCTCTTCTTCTGAGGGGAAAAATAAAGTGCTTGATTTGATCCATCCGCCAACATATTTTTTTTTCTTTGAGGAAAATAAAGTGCAACTTTGACATTCCTTTCTTTCTATAGGGGCATGTTACACGTTCTGTCTGTAGGCTAATGCAATTATAGGCAGACTGCAAAAACTTTCTATAGGGGCATGTTACACATTCTACCTGTAGGCTAATGCAATTATAGGCAGACTGCAAAAAAAAAAAGGGAATACCTTTAAATTCTTTGTAAAAATGTAAGGTCTTCATACCCATAGGATGATGGCACTGAATCAGAGCTGAAAATATGAAATTGTAAGGGAATGTAGATCTAAAAGCCATTAGCCCAAACAGCCCTGAGTTTTAGAGAAGCCATTTCAAGCCTGGGATTACCTTTAAATTCTTCATAAAAATGTAAGGTCTTCATACCCATAGGATGATGGCACTAAGTCAGAGCTGAAAATATGAAATTGTAAGGGAATGTAGATCTAAAAGCCATTAGCCCAAACAGCCCTGAGTTTTAGAGAAGCCATTTCAAGCCTTGCTCAGAGAACTGGAAAGCTTAACTTTTTAGTTGTACTTAAATTTCAAGCACCAGTATTGATCGTTCTTGTGCACTGCGGTTCCAGCTGCACATCCCAAAATACCAGCGATTGCACCCAGGCTGCACCGCCACAGCACCGCGCTTACCCAACGTGGCAGGGGTTAAATTAAGCAAGAAGGATGACTACGAGTTATTTGGCAATACTTACATTCTCATTTACATGTACTATTTGCATGTCTTTGTAGAAATAGTCCGTTGTGCCAAAATACTGTATATTTTGTGGCGTTGGTCTGCAAACAAAGTCGTGCTCAGACCAGCGAGCCTTGTTAATGTCAAATTGGCTTTTGGGTGAGCTGAAAACGACAGATGGCCACCCTGCTCTGATCAAAACTGCCTTTTTAGTTTCCCCCGCTGTACAACATCTTTCTGAAAGGTAATTTGTGGAACAATCATGATGAGAAACATATTTTAGTACTAAGTATGTTTTCAAACTTGGTATTCTGCAGTCAACAAAATGGATTTTTCCTTTAGTTTCTTTAAATACAAGCTGTTTAAGGGTAAAGTAAGTAAAGCATTTACGAATAGCAAACTTTTTAAAAATCACCCAGTGGAACCCATCAGGTGAAATGAAGAGCTCACCCAACTCAGAGCAGCTCACCTGAGAAAAGTTAATTCTATAGGAAAAAAAGCAACTCACACTTTCAGCCGCATCCTCTCGGATCTCCAGGAATTTCCTGCTGCTCTTTCAGATCCTTCTTCTTGAGTCCATCTCAGCATTTTAAACATTCCTGCCTCGTGCCCAGTGACAACGCTCTCATTCTGGTCCCACGTATCACCCTTGCTGCAGCACTGCCCAAACACTCAACAATATTGTATGAGTTCCTATGAAGAGTTTCAGCCTCCTTAAAAGAGCTCATGCTCCCTGAGCTACTGTTCTTCAAGTGCAGCAAGTCCCTCCTGAACCCAAGGCTCATCACCCACCCCACAGCTCTGCTGGCCCTCCACCTGCCTCGGCTGGTTCCCCAGGACCTGGAACATCTCCTGCCTCTTCGACATTATCCAGCCAACGGGGTGCATCCCTCTTGTCTTTGGTTTGGAACAGCCAGAGGGCAACGCAGAGAGGAGAGACTGAAGCCAAGGCACAAAACCCCACAGAGAAAAAAAGAGATTAAAAACCAGAAGATTTTTAAGCTGGTATTTTTATTAGAACTCTCTACATAAAGCACCTTTGCCTGCCTTAAACTGCCTTAAACTTACAGTACTTCTCTGAACATTACTTTTCTGGGACACAGCACAGGATGCTTCAAACTACTCCGCGTTTCTTGATTTGGACACTGCCATCTTAACAGCTTGCACAATGGCATCTTTGTCAATGCCAAACATCCTCAGGAGCTCAGCTGACTTCCCGCTGCGAGGTACGTGAGACACAGCCAAGCGATGGACTGTGATTCCAGGCTCACCCACTACTGCAGCGCACACCGCTTCGCCAATGCCACCTACGGGGAAAAAGGCAGATGGGACATGCATCTGGAGGCGTCAACAGGCAACATATAGATGGCATGTGGATCTGCTCAAAGGTCCATGCAAGTTACATCCTCAGTCCACGTGCTTATGAGAAACATCAATCGCAACATACATCCGAGTTGTCCATTTGTGAAATGAGAACAATTCCCTATTTCAAAGGCATTCTGAGGGCAACCAGCCTGACATTTCTGAAGGAACTACAAATTGGCAGTAATGAACATATACCTCGAAAGGGCACAGAACTGTCAGGAAGCCCTCACCACTTCAGCATCAGACACTGAGGGCCAGGTTTAAAATATATTTAGACTGAGAAGAATTTGCAAGTGAATTTAATGCAGTGAAGTCCTAATTCCCACCTATGCCCGCAGCACTTAAGAGCTCCATCTTTTGACAACGCCTGTACGTGCCGCTCGGCACCTCTCCAAGTTACATAGTGTGTTCAGAACCTTTGCTTAGAGCTCAGCTCAGACTGAGTCACCATCAGTCACGGGGAAAAAGGATGCAACGGGGAGCTGCGTGGTGGCAGGAGAGACACTGGACACAGGAGTACCAGGGATGAATTAAACACCAGACTAGTGTGTCAAGAGCACGTGCTCCAAGACCTGGAAGGAGAGACACCTTGGTGCTGCATTCCAGGTAGGGTGTATCCAGGAACGCAGGGCTTTCCACAGCTCCAGGCATGGTGTGATTTAACCAGTCACACTCAGCCTCCAGCTGGAGGCACCTCCACGGATGTGGGTGGTAAGATCAGCCTGATGTCCACTCCCAGTGCATTCAGGCTTGTGATGCGTGTGCACTTGACCGTCCTTGATTGCACCACACAGAGAAAGCTGCCAGTGTAAACTGCGTGTTCATCACCTCAGAGTGTGATGATTTTGCCATCTTGCAAATCTGCAGTAAAATGTTTGTCCAGAGTTGAAAGATAAGCTAGAAAATGATGAGGCTCAGCGATGCCATCACGATCCAGAGTCTGGAACAAAACTGTGGTATAGCCAGCACTTAGGGTAATACCAGCTCACTTCAGATACCTGGCAAGAGTCATGCTCTCCTTAAAGGAGGATAATATTCTCATAATATCTACTAATTTCTATTAGTAGGTATCTACAATATCTACTAATGCCACAGATCACAGCTGTCTCTCTGCCATTTTCTCCATCTTTCCCCAGGAGGAACAAGCCTGACACGCAGTTCACAACAGCTGCTCTCTGTTTGCGTACGGTCTCATCCTCACAGGACATGTTTGCACAGGCAAGGCCCTAAAACCTGTGCAAACAAGGCCTGTCAGAGAGCAAGCGGCAGCAGATTATGGATTCAACTCCAGTTTGTGGCTGGTCACAAGTGGCCCAGTTCTGGGGCCAGTTCTGTTCAACAACTTTGTCAATGACCTGGACGAGGGGATTGAGCACACCCTCAATAAGTTTGCAGGTGACACCAAGTTGGGTGGGAGTGTTGATCTGCTTGATGGTAGGAAGGCTCTATAGAGGGGGTCAGTCTCTTCCCCCAAGTAACAAGTGATAGGACAAGAGGAAATGGCCTCAAGTTGCGCCAGTGGAGGCTTAGGATGGATATTAGGAAATAATACCAGCTCACTTCAGATACCTGGCAAGAGTCATGCTCTCCTTAAAGGAGGATAATATTCTCATAATATCTACTAATTTCTATTACTAGATATCTACAATATCTACTAATGCCACAGATCACAGCTGTCTCTCTGCCATTTTCTCCATCTCCCCCCCAGGAGGAACAAGCCTGACACGCAAATCACAACAGCTGCTCTCTGTTTGCGTACGGTCTCATCCTCACAGGACATGTTTGCACAGGCAAGGCCCTAAAACCTGTGCAAACAAGGCCTGTCAGAGAGCAAGCGGCAGCAGATTATGGATTCAACTCCAGTTTGTGGCTGGTCACAAGTGGCCCAGTTCTGGGGCCAGTTCTGTTCAACAACTTTGTCAATGACCTGGATGTTCCCCAGGAGGAACAAGCCTGACACGCAGTTCACAACAGCTGCTCTCTGTTTGCGTACGGTCTCATCCTCACAGGACATGTTTGCACAGGCAAGGCCCTAAAACCTGTGCAAACAAGGCCTGTCAGAGAGCAAGCGGCAGCAGATTATGGATTCAACTCCAGTTTGTGGCTGGTCACAAGTGGCCCAGTTCTGGGGCCAGTTCTGTTCAACAACTTTGTCAATGACCTGGATGAGGGGATTGAGCGCACCCTCAATAAGTTTGCAGGTGACACCAACACACCCTCAATAAGTTTGCAGGTGACACCAAGTTGGGTGGGAGTGTTGATCTGCTTGATGGTAGGAAGGCTCTATAGAGGGGGTCAGTCTCTTCCCCCAAGTAACAAGTGATAGGACAAGAGGAAATGGCCTCAAGTTGCGCCAGTGGAGGCTTAGGATGGATATTAGGAAAAATTTCTTCACAGAAAGGGCTGTGAAGCCTTGGAACAGGCTGCCCAGGAAGTGGCTGAGTCACCATCCCTGGAGGTATTTAAAAGACAGGTAAACGTGGTGCTGAGGGACATGGTTTAGTGGTAACTTGGTGGTGCTCGGTTAACGGTTGGACTCAATGATCTAATGGGTCTTTTCCAACCTAAATGATTCTATGATTGTAAATAAAAATCCTGGCATAGAAGCTTGGGGAGTCTCATATAAAAACTATCCTGCTTCTCCCAAGAAGCATTTTATCTTAAGATTTACTTGGGAATCATCTTAGGAATTCCTTCTCACATGCATCATGCACTTTTTGCCCTCAGGTTAAGAACACCACCATACACCAGCAACCGACTGAAGCAGCCTGTCCCAAGTGAAGAGAAGGAACAAAAAGAGTCCAATGAGGACATAAAGTGTTCTGGCTCTTCACAAGCCCTGATCTGCTCAGGAGAAAGCAAGAAGAATTTATCCCAGAATGACTGCAGAAACTGCCACAGGAATTTACAGTTTCACTGGGAACAAATGAATCAAATCTTCACTTGGACCAAGCATGCAGAAGGGCACACAAGGCAAGTTAATCAGAAAGGCAGCCCTGATTAGCCCATTGTCTTAGGAAACTTTCAACCCTCAGCATCATCTTCTAATAGTAACAAT